GTCCCCCGCTGGTTTCACAGCCCGGAGTTGTGGGGACGTCTCTTCCCGGCCCTGGAGCCCTGGGCTGGGGGCCTGCTGTGGGGCTGGGACCCCTCCCTTCTCCGGGAAAACTCTGCCACCGAGATTCCCTCCCGGGTTTCAACCGTGGCACTGGGTGTGGGCCTGCGGCCGAGTCTCTGTGATTCAGCCCCGATCCGCCCGCGTCTCCTCCCTTCCTCCTGGTCTCGGTGCTGCTTCAGCTCCCTGGTTNAACCCGCAGCACCGGGTGTGGGCCCGCGGCCGAGTCTCTGTGATTCAGTCCTGATCCGCCCGCGTCTCCTCCCTTCCTCCTGGTCTCGGTGCTGCTTCAGCTCCCTGGTTGTGGGGCTTCTGTTCAGCCAGGTTTCAGGAGGCTCTGAGTGCTGGTGGTTCTGTATTTTAGTTGTAATTTTGATGTGGTTGCGGGAGGCGGCGGGTGCAGCTGTTACCTGCGCCGCCAGCTTGTTTCTCCTCCTATTCATTTTTAACTGCGGAAATTAGAATAGCAGTCCTCTAAACCTGGTAAGTCATTTTCCCCTCAGGTAACATCTTGCTTAGATTTTAGTATAAACGAAAATTCCTAAAACGGGTTTATCTTGATGATCCAAACCTTCTCTTATGTAGCCCTCTTTTATGTTGCCCTATATAACTTATTACCGCTATCTCGCTATCTCACACACTGTGTGTGTTTCATGTTTTTGTTTGTTTTTCCTCTCAGTGAAAAGTTAGCTACATAAGAGCAAGGGTCTTATCTGTTCTGCCATTAACTATTTCTCCATCAGCAAAACAGTGTTTGGTACAAAGCTGGACCACATTAAATATTTTAAGTGAATTAATAAATTCCTGGAAGGCAGAGTCCTTTATTAGTACACAAAATATTTCATAGATATGCAATCATGTGACAATAAATGAAACAACAAAAAATGAAATAAGAAACTTCACATATTTCTTAATTTATTTTTTCTGAAATTATACATAAATAACCTTTCATTTTCTATAAAGTTTATTAATAATAGCATTATTAATCTAGTCATTAATCATTAGTTTGAAGGTTGAAACTGCTGTTTACTGAATTTTTTTTGATTAGTATCAAATTCCTCTTTATGTGTATATGGCTTTGTGCATGGCTAACACTAATTTAAAAATTATAAATTTACTACAAACAAAGATCTCACTGTATAGCATGGTGTATTAAGTTTTTTCCTTAGGTAGAATAGAGGGAGTTAAGGCACTCAGCACTGCTTCTGTTGGGGTATTAGAGTAGAATCTGGCCAGAAAAGTAGGGAGAAATGATCCTTTAATTTCAAATCAAATCAGAACTGTAGCTCTTTCATTTAAAGCCCAGTTGAGAGTTAATATCCAAGAGGCCTGAGTTAAGGAGCCTAGGAGAAAATCATTACTTCTACTCATGATTTGAATGAGATAGGACCCTTCAGTTAAAGGAAATGTCTCTTCTTTTTCATTCTCAGTCTCCATTTAGAGAAACTTTGTCTTAAAACTCTTGGCCTCTTTGCCCTTCCAATTATTCTTCCCCCCAAACTGTGCAATGAGTTAACTTTGTGGTGCAAAATAGCCATTGATTCAAGTTCTTAGTTTAGACAGAGCTAATCTTTCAAAAGTCCAGTTGGCCTGAGAGTTGATCACTGCCTTTGAGAGTGACAATGTAGTAGGCAATGATTTCAGAACTCTGCTCTGCAGATTGGAAATATCGTTTGTATTTCATACTAAGCCGTATTCTTCTAGATATTATCATTAACCAATTTAATATTTTGGTTTTCTGTTGGATGGATGTGTTGTTATTTATACATTGGTTCAACCTCAGACATGGAAGGAGAATACTATTTCTTGGAATACTATACAGGTTTAAGGGTGGTCTGTACTAGCGGAAATAATAATCTGTACTAGCAGAAATAATATACTTTCACAGGTAAATTTAGGGCAGTTATAAATTCTATGAAGGTGAGTTAGAAAAACTTTTTATTCAAAACTTCAACTGAAAGCCACTAAATTACCACTTAAGGCTGCTTCTTATCTTGATATCCACATATAGACTCTACCACAAAGTCCAGGTACTAGGTATGGAAGCAGCAGGGTGACTTGAAGCTTGATTCCCTGTGTGAGTAAGTCCCCAGGATGCCTCTAGACTCATTTCTCCTTAACTTAGGGTCTAGGCCTGCTGAACCTGCAGGTGTCTAATAACGTGATGTGTACTGTGAGCTTATAGAATAAGCAGAAACTAATAGACATATATGAAAAATGTGGAATGACACTAATGAATTAAAAAATAATTTACTCTAATAACTGTAATATATGTTGTTGACTAAAAATGTTTACTACACAGATTCTAACCTGTTGGTTAGTTTATCCTGATAATTAAATATTTTTGTCTTAAAAATTAAATCATAGGATATGCTTGCTTAGAAATTATGTAGGAAAGCAAAAACTTTTAAATGAAATTACATAAAGTCAGATTTTTCGT